GCGGCCAGATATATATATATAGATAGATATTGCTTGTGTTCATAAGAAGAATATATTATTTACTAATAATTTTTACAATTGCCGAGATAGTTAACTAAAATAGCTGATAGGTTTTCTCATAGAAACTTCCATTTATGAAAAGATGTATATTTATGAGTATATACAACTCAATTAAAATATGCTTACTTATTTGACACTTAAACTTAAATGTTTAGGATATGTTTGGGGCAGCTTGTGCGTTTCAGAATAAACAACTTATCCTGAAACGTGGCCAACGGGTCGACCGCGGGGGTCGACTTGCGGCCTGCGTTTAGTGTAAAAAACTCAAATGCGGCACGCTACGTTTTCAAAAACGCGCAATGCGTAAATCAAACGGGTAGGCGGCGTTTTCAAAAACGCCGCCGCACTTATACACTGCCCCAAACTGTTTTGTTTAATCTGCAAAGTGGATGTTTATTTATGGTGAACTCATGATGTTTGGGGCATCCTTACATCATCCGGCTACCTATCTTATCTTATGCTTATGCTTGTTTTGCATGCAAACCACCCATTTCGTATGTATTTACATATTTAACCACTAAACTTTTAATTTTACATCCTTATCCCTTAAATCTTTCATATCACATCAAAATGAGAAGAATTTAGAAGTATTCATGTGCTCCTGAGGACTGATTTGTTTCACATAAGTAAACTTTTGCAGTTATGCGGCTGTTGGAAGCATTTAGAGCTTAGCTTACTTGATTAAGCTAACACCAAAAAATAATAATAATAATAATAATAATAAAGGAAGAGAGAACAAACTAAAAGTGTGTAGTCAAAGTTTTAGGGTATGTGTGGGTCAACTACAGTTGATTGAAGAAGCAACTATAAAACTGTTGAAGAATAAATTATTTTTTAAAAAGTTATGCTAGCTATTATAAGTTTATTTTATTTCAAAAAGTTAGACCATAACTTTTTAGCAGCTGTCGCGTTTTAACAACTTAGATTGAAAAAATTAGCTTTCTAACACAACAATTTCACAAACAAAATTTTGGTGAATGTCTGAAAAGTAAAACAAGCAAAAAGCTGTCCTAAACGGACCCTTCGTAAACATCCACTAGAAAATATATATCAATCTTACTAATTGATAAAAAAATACATGAATTTAAAAACACGTGCATGGTGCGCATGCAAGCAGACAGTATCATTGCTTATTATAAATGATAAAAAAGATAATTTGTTGCCATATTATTACATTCAAACGAAATTCAATAAACTAATTAATTGAATAAAATGGCAAAATTAATAATTAAGAGATTGATGACAACCGTTCGATGAAGACATCGAACGTCTTCTGTCGTTCCAACAAGCTGATCCTCACATACTTATCGGTCGTCCCGAAATTCCTCCCGCCGCGAGCTTCGATGCTATGTTCTGTTTTGAGATAGCTCGCTATGTCCTCAATGTCTTGATTTCCTTCATATTTCAGCCACGCAAAAGCTGAATCCAACAAAAGCATTAACTTAAAATATTTATCTCTAAATAAATATGAGCACCTATGATCATGAGAATTCAAGATCAACAATTGTAGGGTCTGTTTGAGCCAGCTGTAGTTGTTTAAATAAACAATGTTATGAAGCTGTTGTTCAAAATATTGTGGTGGCTATTATAATTTTTTCTTAAAAGTACACCACAAATTTCTGACAGGTATTGATTGAAACTTCATTTGCGATGGCAACTTTTCATATGAATTCAACAAATTTAGCCCAAAAATTAATTTGAAGTCTAACTCGAGTCAAAATCAGATCCAAATAAACAAGTCGGGCTACGAGCCAAAACTTTGAAAGGAAAATAGGAGCAAAGACATACCAGGCAAATGTGTGGCTTCCTCCCTTAAGAACCCACAGTAACTCGGCGGCGGGTACTCCAGCAATCCAAACGCGCCCTTCGCCTTAACGACTTCTCTAACCCGTTCCCATCGCTCCGCCATCATCTTCCTTCCAAAGTGAAAAAGCTTGCAAGCGCCTCCGCTCTCATACCCATTAGACACCGCCCTCAGAATCGCGGCAGCGCGGTGCTGGGAGTCCTTAGACACGCCTATAGTCCCGAGCTCGACGAACTTCACCATTCTTCTCGCCAAATCGGCATCTTTCACTAGCGCCCAGCCAAGCCGGCAGCCTGCATGGCCGGTGCACTTGGAGATGGTGAAGAGCATGATATCGTGGTCGGCTGCTTTTGTGATGGGCGTGTACTGCGGCCAGTAGTAGGCGAGGTCGTGGATGTTGTTGGAGTTCTGGTTGAGGAGGACCGGGTTGTTTAAGCGGCCGTCGGGGTTGTTTGGGGAGCAGATTGCTTCGTTGTGAGGGGTGGAGGGGTGGGGAGTGAATGTGTTGGCGTCGCCGCCCCATTTGTAGAGGGTGGATTTGAGGAAGTCTGCTGCTGCGGGGTAACCCTGTTCATGACCATGCATTTCGATTGTAAATGATATGGATAATTTTAGTGGTATAAATGTAAGAAAATGTAGTTTAGGTGTTAGATATGTAAATAAATAAAATTGGTTGGCATGTATGTAAATTGAATTCCTAATGTTTTTGATGTGATATGAGTGATTTGGGTGGTACAAATGTAAATAAAATAGAGTTTAGGCGTTAGATATGTAAATTACATAAAGTAGGTGGAATAAAAGAAAAAAAAAATTACAATTTTCGGCTTAGGCAGGTTCTTGTCGGTTCAATCCGATTCGATGCGGGGGTAGTTTTTAAGCCAATCAGAACTAGACCACCAGTGGGTTCACGGTTGAACCGGCCGGTTCGGTCCTGTTTTCCAAACACTGGTATTTTGATGATAAGTTTATTTATAATGATGGTAAAATGTAATTATTTTGATGAGTAAATAAAATGTTTATTGGAATAAAATGATATGGATGATTTTGAGTGGTGCTAAGCTATCATCTTACTATTTCTTGTATTCATAGGCTAATAAAAATGGTAGCTCGCTGCTTGGATGGTCCACACAATATTGAATGACCTCAATAATAAGGTAAAATATTAGACTACATGTATTCTAACCTTTGATGACCATCTACAGTAACATTTAAAGGAGGAGCCAAATATATTATGACATTCATTAATGATTTCTCTAGAATTTTTTTGGTGTTCTTCTTGAAGCAGAAGAGATATGCTTTAACTAAATCTAAGGAATGCAAGATCATGACTGAGAAGAAGAATAAAAAACATATCAAACTTCTTTGCATTGATAATGGGTTGAAGTTTATTTCAGGAGAATTTAATATCTTTTTCAAATTAGAAGAAATTATGAGAAACTTTAGTCTAACACATTTCTCAATAAATGGTGCGACGGAGTGAATGAACAAGACTAAATGGAGAAGGTTCGTTGCACACTCTGTAATATCAAGCTACCAATCTTATTTTAAGTGAAGTTTCTTCTACAATTTACTACTTTGCGAATCGCTTTCCTTTTTTTTGTGACAAGAAAACTCCTTTAGGGAATTGGTCAGGTAAACTTGCATATTACTTTTATTTAAGAATTTTTTGTTGTATAGTATATGCTCATATTAATAATGATAAATTATAAATGTTGGTATCAATTTTTGATTTCATAAATACTGAATGCGCTTGTGATGTTATGGGAGCATATGATGCTCACGCGTGCCATCCTGTAGCTCAAGGAATCCATCAGAGCATTAATAGAAGCACATCATCTTTGGACTAGGGTTACCCAGTTCTAGTCGTGCTTGATAGCGACTAACACTAATCCATAATGATTCTCCCATTCTATGGCAAGCCAAATGATCATTTTGAGGCCTATGTGGTCCGATCCAGTCATGGAAAGCTTTTCATGTCGTGAAATGAGCTTAACAAACTCCCGAGGAGGGAAAACAATGACTCATAAGGGTCTGGTATGACTATGCTCAAATCAAATGTGGCCACACCTAACTCCTCCCGGGGGCTACCTTTAGTGTAGCCATGCCCGAATACGATGTTACCACGCTGCAAGACAAAGCCCACAACATAATTATGCCATGGGATGGCGTGGACACGTCGGACCTCCTAGCAGTTGTGCTAAGGCTGCCTTCGGCATAGTCACGCCCAAAAGCAACGTGATTGTGTTGCAAGTCAGTGAGGTTGCAGTAATTATTCTTCAAAGTTTGTATGACCACGTTGACTTTGTGGGCAGAGCGGTGTGACCACGCCAGAGCTCGGCATGGCCACGTTGACCCACCTAGGTTTCAAAATTTGGCCTTGATGGCCCTAGGAAAGCATGGCACCTAGGCCTGAAATTACAGAGATCTCCTTGGGCTTAAGGAGATGTGCTTGGGAGAATGTAACGACTGTGGGTTTAGCCACATTTAGCATGTTTTAAATGCCCTTTATTAGCCATATTTGGCCTAATTAAAGTAGCACTTTTGGGACTTGATTGGTTGAGCTGGTTTAAGCTCCATCTCCTCCTCATTTCAGACTTAGGCTGGTTAGGAGAGCTTGGGAGAGCACAAGAGAGAGCTTCATCTTCCTATAGGAGAACTTAGAGGTGCCATGGAGAATATCTCTTTGATCAAAAGGATTTTAGGAAGGTTCTTCATCTTCCTCAAGGAGAGAGCTGAGGAGTTGTTCCCCTTCTTCTTCTTCTTCTTCTTCTTCTTCTTCTTCTCTTTTTTCCTCACCTTTTTCTTTCTCCACCATTCTTTGAGTGTGTGAGAAGATCTTTTTGAGGAGGAGTGTGGCTAGCAAAGAGTGAGGTGTCTCTTCTCCTACTTTAAAGAAGAGCTTTATCCTAGCTTGGGGAAGGATCACCGGAGCATTTGTGAACCTCGTCAGAGCTTTGTTATCTCTCCCACCATGAGGAGAGCTTCTTCATCCCTTAGAGAAGGAGTGGAGCAAACCTCACCAGAGCTTCACCGGAACCTTGATAGAGTTTACTCTTCTCTCCTAATGATAGGAGAGCTTCATCGCACTAAAAGAAACACATCCACAACCTTCGTATTGGTGAGATTCTCTAAAACCCTCGTGTTTTCTTTCTAGCTAGTCCCAGGAGTAAATTTTGCTACGTGTTTGTGGGTTTGGTCGCCAACACGAGGCAAACCTGACTAACAACCCATTATAATCCAACTCAATCACTTGCTTTTAGTGAGGAGAAAAAAAAATTAACTCTTTAGCCATCATTAATAATATAGGAATTCTTTTTTAGTTATTCCTAGATGGTCCTCTTTGGCTTCGTGAATGGTAACCCAAATTGAACATCTCTTTGATCTCAAATGAGCTCAACTTGAACTCTAACTCTTAAATGATCTCAAAATGAGTCTAATTATTAGTTTACTTTGAAATCAAGGGAGCCTAAATATAATCTAAGAAAAATGAGATTTATATTAACTAATAGAGGCCTTATAGGATCCCTAGAATGAATAACTCCAAAATTAGGTTTAATATCCTATGACACTTCATAGTCACTTTATACTCTTCTTCTAACTCCCCTCTAAGCTTAAGAGGTTTGTTCAACCATATTTATCTAAGTTAACTTTAATTGATTTATGGAAAACACCAAATTCCATTATCCTTTACCTTAAATGCATGTTGAAAGATCATTGAGGATCAAACTTTATCCTATTTCAAGCTTATTTCAATATATAAAATGGCTCACAAAACCCAAGCACGCCCTATTTGCCCTTATAGGGCAAATCTATGTGCAATCTCTCCTTCTTTCTCCCTATTTATCTCTCTCTCTACTTCTCCCTCACTGTTCCTACCACTCTAATCATTGGCATGCCTCGTTGAACAATTTTGAATTCAACAAATTAATAGCCTTAATAACTCTACATTTGCATATAATTAGAATTCATATTTTTAAAATTTTTTTGGCAGATTAGCTAGCTATCATTTTTAGGCTAGACATATGTCTAATAGAGTTTATTTAGATTCATTTATAGGATACTTTGAAATTTGTAAATCCTATTGTACCATGTCAAACTAAGTTTAAGTCCACTGCATATTAGTGGCTCTTACCTTAGTTCTTGGATTGGAGGGAACTCATCTTGCATTTCCAAGACATAAATCTTTATTTTTTAGGCTCTTTCATAATCTAATGTTGTAGGATTTTTAGTTTAAAACTTTTAACAAAATAAATGACCTAAATAAAATTAAATCCCAATAAAAAATTATAAAGTTTAATTGTAGGATAATTTGAAGCATTATAAAGACTTTTAGCATCCACTGTTTTCTGTCCTTAATTCATTGTCTTTTGAAAATAATGACTCCAAAATTGATCATATCTCAATAAAAGACTCCAAAGTGAACACACTTAAAAATAAAATATTAAAATATATAGGCACACGAGTGACACTACTTTAATAAAGAATTTTCTTAATGGAAAATCTCTCTTTGGATGTAAGTAGTTACATGGAATTACCACTATAGGGAATCTATACATAAGATTAAAATAAAGCATTTCTAACCCAAATTGGGTATAAAAACAATATCTAACACCATAAACTTTGAGCCTTGAATCATTATTACATTATTAGATTCACTTTTGATAATATTTTAATTTTTTGAGATAATATATTATTAGCAATATTGTATTTGATCCTAAATAAGAAAATTTAACATATATGTGATCAACTACACCCTTCCAACGTCAACAATTAATTGGCTCCTAAGCGCAAAAGTCTACTACCTAAGCGCCTAGTTCTTAATTCATGGGAGTTTTTATGCTTTAATATGATGTTTTAGAACCTAGACTAGATGTTTGAATACTTTACTATCAAATTTTGGAGGCAATTACAACATTTGTTATTAGATTTGGCATTTTGGTTTCTACTTATCTATTTGTTGTTGGGAAAAGTTTTGGTGCCTGAGTAACTTGATTGTGCATCTAGGTGTTGGTTTTCTTTTCCCGACAATTTGATTGGGTGCCTATGCATTGGGTGTGACACCTTGGTGCATAGTTAGGTATATAGACTTTTTTTATGCTCCAAATCACACTGATTGCATACCAATTCAAATAGATATATTTAATGCATGAACATGTATGTATTCTCTTGGATTTTTCTTAATATTGTCGCTCACCTGTAAGGTTAAAAAAAGAATATATTAATATAGCGGAATTCATTGAATCTTATGCATATAGAGATAAAAAGATTGGCTTAAGGTGGGATAATTAAAAGTAAATTTTATGGTTATTGATTATAATGATTGATTTTTCTAAACATCAACTTATTTGTCCCTTCTACAAGAATATATTGGTCATTTGGTTAATTAAGCTAGATTGGTGAATTGATCAAGCCTTGCTTGATTGATCGAGTTCTAGTTCAATCACTTTCAGAGGCAATTAGGGATAAATAATCTTCTCTATAAAATCTTTCTTCAATTGGAGCTTGTCCTTTTTATGTCTTCTTACCATGGAAAAAAAAAAAGCAACACTCGAAGGATTCCTTTAGAGTGGAAAAATGCTTATTCTCGTCCATAAAAGAAAGATTTTGTAGATATAAAGTTAGAAAACACGGTGAATGATAAAAGAGAAAACTTTATGAGGCCTTAATGAGTTTAATATTCACAGGTTTGTCATAATGTAAACTTGTATGAATTGGAAAAATCAATAAAACCAATAAAAAAGTACATTACAATGCATCAAGTTGGAATATTTTATTTTATTTTATTTGGGATATCATTAAAGAAATGTGTAATTAATGAACTAAAGGTACATTCAAATTCATTTATAAGGCCTAGTTGAATTGATTTTGCTTATCTATGCGAGTTAAGTCCAAGGCATATTGGTCTATTAAAAAGTGTCACCACATCGAGGTTGTCAAGAAAATTTTATCAAAGCTATCAAACCAAGCATGATAAAGCTTTGGGCAAACCAAGCATCATAGTTATTCACTGCCTCATCTAAGGTACTTGACATTAAGGCAACTTGGTAGGGTTGTCGAAGAGACTCTTCAACACTTAGCAAAATTGATGAAGTTGATCAATGGCTACACTCATATTTCCCCTATAAGTAGAATTCAAACCCAAAATTTTGTGAAAGGATTGTTATGCAATTATATTAGTGTAGCATTTCTTTTAGAGGTGTACTTCAACTTTGAGGTTATAAGTAAGTGGACAAAGTGTGCATCTGAATGACTTTAATAATTTAACACTCAAAATAACTAAATAAAATTATCATTTTTCTTTCTATTTCAATTAACAAAATAAGCTATATGATGGAAATAAATGCGACTCAATTAATTCATCCAATTTAAATTTTTTAGGAGTTGTGCATTATAGCTAAACGCTAGTTTTTTATAGGCATCATTACTACATTACCGAGTAATAGGGCGCAGCGGACACGACGGGCATGGGGCCGCTAGTCCCTGTCAAGCCTGGTTGAGTGGAGAGGGCGAAAAGGGCGGCCTGAAAGAGCTGTGAGGAGCCATTTCCGATGACAATGTGGCGGCTTTCATCAGCAGTAGCATTGCCGACGATTCTATGAATTCGACGGATCTCTGTTTCAAACACAGGTAGGAGAAACCAACAGAGATTGTTCCTATCTGAAAAGTAGCTCATGTTCTCCCATCCCTCAATTTTTAAATAAGCCCCTTCTCCAGACTCCCTCCAAAAGCTTTCATATGCTGTCGGATCACCACTGCCACAAAATAAAAATTACAAAAATTAAAAAAATAAAAATAAAGCTTCCATTATATATTTCATTAGCTATTTAGCATTTTTGATTATTTTTTAATCGTGATATATTGGCCTGCTACATGAACCAAAATCATGTCTTGTTATGTTTGGCTGCATCTGAATTTAAGTTAAAATAAGAATTTATTAAATCCAACAAATCCGTTGTTCGTGCGATGGAGATGATTTTACGAGTGAGCGACCGTGAAAGAAATTTTTAAATCCGCCTCATAATCTGACTTATTAAATTCAAATTTAAGTCCTAAAAGAGATGAGACGGAACACGAAAAAATTCAATTTGATGGAGTTGTCCTTAATATAGATATATTTTTTTATTTTTGGTTGGATTTATGTCAAATCCTTGATTAAATCATATCTAGATTATGCCCGCTAAAATGACAAAATATTCCGTCCGAACGATCAATCACCGGCCGTTGTGTTGCCATACACATCATCGACGGGCAACGCAGCGATCAACAGTTTGCCGTCCGGACCTAACAAGATTGATTAAGAATAGTGCAAATATATGAAAAAGAAAAGTTACCGTTGTCATTATGATTATTATTATTCTGTGTAAAGCAAGCTTACTGATCGAGGTTGATGACCCGGTCCTTGGACTCTGCTGCACTGCTCGCCGCCATTGCACTGCTCGCCGCCGTGCTTCTCTGCAATCTAACTGAGAACTACTGCTCAGAACTCGGATGAAACTCTGATCAAAGTTTCGAGACGGTTACTTTTATCACCATGAGACGCCCTTCGGCTTCGGAGTTTGGCTCTGACTTATTCTTTCCAGTTAAAGGAGGAAAATAATTACTATGAAAATAAATAAATACAATATATATATATATATATATATATATATGAGATCTATGAAAGTATTGCATGTCGCCGGTCATGTAATATTGGAAAGGATAAATTTTTTAATGAAATTGGGTGGTCGAATGTGTTCTCACCTAGCCGAGTATTGGGACTTTTTCAATGAGTTGAACTAAATGTACATTCCTAAAACTAGCTGTCGAGTTTCTCGAATAACCATCAATTGTTGTGTTTGAGTTGAGGAAGAAAGACAAGGCAACTCGGTATGATAATTAGAGTGAATGCCTACAACTGGATCGGCGAGCCATACACAATAGTTTGTTCGTGATGATCGGTGCACGAGAGTGGAGCCTAGTTGGGAATAAGGGTCTGTTTGGGGCAGTTGCAGCTTAATGATAAGTTGTTGCGCAGAAACAAATGCGGATAAGCTGAATGTCAGTTTGTTTTTCGCAGTTTGAAAACAGTTGTGCTGCAGCTATTTCTGGACAAATGACTATTATGCCCCTGTATAGTAATGTTGCTTGTAATAAAACTGTTCATACCAATATATTTTATACTTTAAAAACAAAAATCGAGTGCAGAACATTACAAAGTAAAGATGGACACCTCACTTAATGATGAATAACATGATTATTAAAATTATGAAAAAAAAGTTATTAAAATAATAATTAATAATATGATTATATTATTTTTAAAATACAGACAATAGTACTCTAGAAAGCAGAATATCTTCCCATAGCCTCGATACCCAAAAAGTGGTGCTGACGCAGATGACAAACACCTAGTATGCGCGATATTAAAAATTGACACCATCAAAGGCCATAACCCCTATTCCAAAGCCTATAACACAAACTTAAGGAACCACCAAATTTCACTTGAAATAATAACAACCAATAATAGGGAAACACTCAAAACAACCCTATAGGTAATTGGTCTTCCCAAGGCAATCACCCCTAGAGCCAGCAATACTCACCATGATTCCAAGCTAACCCCCAACTTACCCAAAAGAAATCATCCATCGAGGAGCTAGTTATTCCATGAGGAGCATCTTACAAAGCCAAGTCGTAGCCATTAAAATCTTGGAAACTCAATGAACAACATACCCCCAGAAGCACTGCGTAACAAAAATGAGGTGAATCTGAAAGATCAAAACCTAAAGCAGTGTGAGGTAGTAGGAGTAAGGATTGTAGTACAAAAGGAAGCTAGCTATACGGATGATGGTACCTTCGTGAAGCCTAATTCGAGAAAAGTCTTCTTTATCATTTTGATTATCCTCATCGAGAAAATTCCACCTCCATTCCCTTAAAGGCTGCAAAAACCTAATAAGGCTCCTATGATTTTCACAATTCCCTATGTCATAGGAACTGAGTTTAAGGGAAATACACTATCTGACCTAGAAGCCAGTGTCAATCTCATGCTTCTGAACATTTTTAAACAATTTGGAAGATGAGAAATTAAGCCTGCCAATTTGACAATCTAGCTAGCAAATCAATATGTGGCACATCCTCTAGGAATAGGTGAAAATTTGCCTGTCACTGTGGATAGATTTACTTTTCCAGCTGATTTTGTGATCTTGGATCTAAAAGCTGATAAAGATATGCATGTGAATTTTAGGAGACCCCTTTTAGCCAATGACAGGGCTATTATTGACGTTCAGGAGGAGAAGACAATTCTGAGAAATAATGATCAAAAAGTTAAATTTAATGTTTTAAAATCATTGAACCTTCCCCAAACCTCTAGGAATGATTAGAACTAAAAAATGTAAACAGTGACTAGGGTAGTAAGAATCCAATCCGTTGAACCGATTGAGTTGAATCTGGAAGAGCAAATAACAATTGATGAATTTTTGAGAAATCTGACTAACAATAATATGACTCTTCCTGTAGGAGAAGCCTAACCACTAGCCCTAAACCTTTCAGGAGAGTACCTTAGTCTTCCTTAGGGAACCACTGAAGAATTCTGATTGAAAGTGAGAGGTTACTACAAAATCTCAACTAGTGAATATAACAAGATTGATATTTGTGGGATGAAGTTGAGAGCATAATGTTACTTGAGGATGAGAGAGAAAATCTAGGACAACTTGAATATGAGACGAGCAATCCAGGACAACTAAATTGGCAAATCGAGTCTAGAAACCTGGTATAAGATAATTTTTGAGACTTAATCTGGCTGAGGACGTTAAACCAAACACTACCTTGGGAGGCAACCCAAGTGTCATCCTATGTTTTGCTTTATTTGTAGCAAGATTTTTCTATTTCGTATTTTCATTTCAAAATTTCTATTGATATGAGTGTTTGTGTGTCGCAGAGTTATCGTTATTGATGTCTGGTACCTTTACGAAGTATATGGTCTATATGGGAGAGGGCGATGCTAAAATTTTTTTTTCATACTGAGGGTCGACGTGACCACGCCAGGTTTTTGTGTGACCACACTTACTAGCAACGTGGCCACGCTACTTTCGACCTTGACCAAATCACTTTTGGGCGTGACCACACCGCTCTTGTCCTATTTCAGGTAAGTCACAGGAAAGTTCAACGTGACCACGCCACAATCTAGAGTAACCATGCCGCCGCACAATAAAGAACCGAAACACCTTTATTTCGGCATTTCCCTCAACTTCTTAAATTAAGCACTTCCTCCACAGCTGCCCAAACTCTTAGATTGTCGGAAATAGAGCTTCTTTCACTAGATCTAGTCTCCATTTGGTAGATCAGAGTTGAAGCTCTAGGATGTGGCGATTTTTCATGCTTAAGCCCCATGTTTCTCCATGTTTTCCATTAGTCCCAAAATTTCACTCACATTTCTACAAATCTCTGTCGGCACTAAATTTTCATGACATTGAGTTGAAGTCCACTCATGATCTCTTATTTTTGGGCCAAAAACTTCACTTTTTTTTAGCAACTAGGCGGCTAAATCCAAAATATAGTTTATTTCCATGGCTCCTATGACCAAAGGGAAAGGGGATCAAGGTATGGCCGCACTACATTGTCAGTCATGCTGCTTCACAGTGGTCTAAAAATGTTTTAGTTCGGAAGAAGCTGATTCCAGAGCGGTCAATTTTATTAGGATGTGATTTCTATTAAAATTAATAGACGAGGGTGGATGAGTTTATGCTTTGCTGTCGGCTCCGCCATTGTCCCACTCGTCCATCAATTCTACACTAATGCGAATGAATCAGTGGACGAGCAAGACTTCGTGTAAGAAAAGCTTATCCCTTTTAATCCCCCCATCATAAATAGTCTTTTTGCCTCCATGACATTCTAACTATGATTTCGAACAGTTCATATCTCACGATTATCAGGAGATTATCACCTTCCTCACTGACGACACGAGTTAGTGGAATGTTCAATTTGGGAAAGAAGGAGAGACACATGAATTTCTCATTAACCTATTTAAATCCCATCTATGGATCTTGGCATTACTTCATTGTCGTCCATGTTCTACCTATCACCAGTCTCACTAATGTGACTAGGTATAGAGCCGTTCTGAACTTCTACATTCAAACGGACAGCTTTATAGATATAGGGATTGTCATCCACCAGCCTATAATGCACATTGTAAGTGGCCAAACCACTTTAGGTTTATGACACCGCTGCATCATTTATGTTATATGTTATAGAGAGGGGGTTGCTGGAGGGAGTGGAGATGAGATGTTAGCACCGCAGAAGTTGATCATCAGGACTGTTTTTTCTTCTGTTGGCTCTACACAAGGTTCATCCTGTCCTCGTGGCATCCTAACACTTCACATCGAGGCCCTTCAAGTGTCGAGATGATGAGACAGGTGAAGGACATGTCTCTGAAGATACATGACATCCGCATGTAGAAACATCACAATGTGGAGCACCAACAACGTCAATATGAATACTGTATTGATGCATTCAGGAGGTCCAGAGATCACTACCGTCAGTGACATTTTCGAATGTGCCACCCTTTGAACTTTATGTTTTGGAGGATGACGACATGGAGGAGACTAATAACGATTAGGCGATTCTAGCATTGTCATGTGCTTCCACTCAATGAGTGGCTTACATCGAATGGTGTGCTTGTACCTTCATTCCATAAGAGTGTAGTCTGGGTGGTCTTGTCAATGACTTAGGCAACTATTGCATTCTTGAGTGTCTTGTATTGTTTGTCTCTGTATTTTTTTCCTTGATGATATTACATGATAAGTTTTTTCGGAGTGGCTACTACACTGTTGTCTAGCTGTTGGTGTGAGCTCTAGTTTTCTTTGTGTGTTGTTATCCCTACTGATGGCTCTGACCAGATGCTTTGTACTTTCTTTTATTTTATATATAGTGAGATTTGTATTGCACTGTGTTTTCATAGCTGCTTTTGATATTTTTCCTTGCTGAGTTCTACACCGTACTTTCTATATTTTTCCTTGCTGAGTTCTACACCGTACTTTCTGGAATTCATGTGGACCATGCATTTACTCTTTTCTTGTACTTACCTGCTTTTTATTTTTATTGTGCCTTCATGTTATATATGTAATGAAAAAAAAGCAAGTTGGAAAAATGTATCTTTTTATGAACCTTAATGATAACTCACACAACTTGGCAGAGAATTAAAATTAAATCTAGCAACTTTCGTGAGGAATTCTTATTTATTTTAAACTATTTATCACAGTCTAGTAAAAATAGATAAATGTCATTTAGAAAATATTAACTTTAATGAGTTAATAATAAAATTCAGAACTTAACGATTTCAAACTTTAATTAAAAGAACTCATAGATTTTTAAAAATGTGTAATTTAAGTGTTAAATAACAAACCAAGAATGTTTTAATTTTTTTCAATTCATTTTAAATCAAGTTAACATTGTCTTAAATTTTAACTGAAAGATAACCTAACAGATGTGGCATTAAATTATCAAGCGTTGAGTTCTACTACTCAAGAAACACTGCCCTTCATCTTATTTAAAATAAAAAAGAAATAGTTGCTAATCAGCTCATACCGATGTTATATAGTAATTCATAGGAAAAATGAAAAAAAAAAAAGAAAAAAAACAAAAAAAGTAAAAATAAAGTCCCTGAGGAGATGCTTGAAGTTGACACAACAATTAATCAAAGAAAAAAATTAGAAGGGTGTCAAGTGAGACTTAAGTAACAAAGCTTTTATGTGATTATTTTCTAAAATCCCTTTTTAGTTATCTTCAAAGAAAATATTTAAGTACTGTTAAAATCCACTAAAATTCATTAAAAATATTCCGGGTTAGTGACAGAGGCTTAAATTACATCAATTTAATGATTTATAGGATTATTTTAAGGATAAGAATGAGGTGAATTAAGGAAAGATCAAGTTATTAACCATTTAAGTTAATTGATATAAAATGATATTTAAACACCTTTATTTAGCTTTGACAAACATATGTAAGAGTTAGAAACCTATAGGATTACCTATCATCTTCATTAAATCTAAACCGAATTATGTGATTATGAACAATTTCGAACGACGAAATTCAATGAAAAAATGACCTGAAGCAGCGTGACCAGCCCCCTATTGAACACCCATGGCGTGACCATGCCGGATCTGACATGACCACGCCCTTTGCAGAGTAGCGGCGTGATCATGCTGATCATGCATGGCGTGACCATGCCGGATCTGACATGACCACGCCAACCAGAAGCACTGTAGCGGCGTGATCATGTTGTAATCGTGCATGACCACAACACCGTCTTCATCATTATGACATGACCATGCCAGTTTTGGGCGTGACCTTGCCAACGAGCGGGAAAACACTTTAGGAAGGAAATTGGCTTGCCAAATCCATGGTTCTCGCTAGAATGATTTTTAGGGCTTCCTAGAGGTAATTCTGCATGAGAGAGGAGTTGGAGGCTACTGGAGGCAAGTGTTAGAGAGAATTTGAGAGCTTTCCTCATGATCTTCTTCCTCCTTTGATGGAAACCTTGAGAGGTGAGTTTTTCTTTTGTTTTGTGAGTTGTGAGAGATTTGTATGAGACGAAGGATTGTTGCCATTATGGAGATAACAAGTTATTGTAAGTATTACATGTTTTTGTTTTTTGCAATGAATTTTTACATAGTTTTCCTTACTATGATTTTCTAGATAATGCGTAGCTAGTTTCATTCTTCGTGTCTTTGTGATGTAGGGGTAGTGGATTTAATCGTTGTTTTTTCCGTAGTATTTTTCTATTAATATTTTTTGCATTTTCATGGTCTATATTTTTTGATTAACCTATGAACTTAATTTACTCTTAATTTAGCCAATTAGAATGTTAAAATATTTCATGAAGCTACGACCTCTAATCATTTTATTGTCGAAATGAAGGATTAGCCACATAATTCTGAGAGGATAGGCTTACTCCAATGGAGTTTTGCAATCGTCTCAAAGGATCAGAACAATTATACAGAATGTCATGAGGATTGAGGGAGTCAACATCAAGGATTATAGGCTTCTTTTAACCTAGATATATGCATAAGGAGTAATATATCCCTGATTGACAAAAATCACATAAGAAAACATTTAAGAAAGCTGCGATCACCACGAGGTAGGATTCATATCAATCTTGAAGGAACTCACAAATACTTTTCAGCTGCTTCTGTTCTACTGCTAACATTTTTCTCTATTTTATCTAGAATCTTAGGACTTATATTATCTTTGCATTCACACACTAAATTAGTAAAGTAGATATTTTTGCTGCACAAATAATTGTTAGAATTTTCTCGTGAGACTGATACACAGGCTCTTAAACCATATACTACTTGTCACGTGTACTTGCATTATCCGTCTGACTTCGCGGTAAGCTTCGACGCTTCAGGTTTGGGTTTTGGACAATGGGAAAATGGGAGAGAGGTGGGAGGGAAAGTTGCCGGTTTTTGTATATGGAGAAAAGTGAGATGAGAAGTGGTGCATGATATGGTGGAGAATAAAAGAAAGAAAAGAGAATGATAAAAGAATGAGAATAAGAAAATGAGAAAAGGAGGAGGATGGTTGTTTGACTAAGAGAAAAAGAAGCGAAGGTAAATGTAATAGCGCAAAAGAAGAGAGAGAAGAGTAGAAAGAAGAAGAGGAGAGAAGAAGACGAGAACGAGAAAAATGAGGATGTAGATGTGTTAGGGTTTGACCATGGGAATGTGAAGAAGAAGAGGAAGAGAGGGAGGGAAGAAAAGGAAAAAAAAACTTACAGTGGTGTGCGAAAGCGGACGAACACTAGAGAAGAAGACTGAGCGAAAGTGGTAGCGCTAAATTGGAAGACTAAATGAAGGCGAGGCAGGATAATTGGCCCAATTCTTTCTGTGTGGAAGCAAAGATGTCCATTTAAAGAGCAATGATGACATCATAGGCACACTACTCACTAACGTAATTACACCACCCACTTGGGCGGCAAGACGTAATTACGCCACCCACTCGGTGTAATTATGCTGGGGACTGTGCATATGAGTGGGTTATGGAGGCATCAAGGTTTTACCTGTTCAGTAGAAGAATGATTAAACGTACCTACGCCGATACTATCATAGTTACGCCGGCAATGGCGTAACTACGCCATAATATAGCGTAACTACACCGACAATAAATATTTTATATATATATATATATATATAACCGTTTTCCATCAATATATCATTGGGCGGGATAAGGAGACCATGATAGAGGATTTCATCATTTCTTTATTTATCACAAACTTCAACATATGTGGGCATAATTTTTCTTAATATTTCTATCATACTTTAAAGATTAGATCATTTTGACAAAGTTCTTATGTTGACTGAGACATAATATGAAAGATTGTGCTCTAAAACTTTCTAAAATATTTATTTGAATTTTATTTGAACTTCCTTTAAAGTATAAATAAACATTATTTGAATTTGTTTGGATTTTATTTGAATCATATTTGAACATGTTTGAGCCATGCTTAAACTTACTTAAACTATAATAAAATATTGTTCAAGGATATTCAAACTAATGTTAAATTTAAATCATTTTTTTTATTCATTTGATCAAGTCAAATTACATTTGAACATAGTTCAAATCATGATCAAACAACATGGTTTGAAGTAGCCGTATACTTATCAAATAATTGTTAAACATGGTTTAATATTGGTTCAAGCTTATGTTCATATAAATGTTATGATATATGCTCATCAATTGTTAGCCTCAAATTAACATTTTCTTGATCATTAATCAATTATTGTCAACATTGTTTAAACTTAATTCAAATAACATTTAACCATTCAATCATGATATGAACATGTTTTATTCTATGTTGGAATAAGTTTTGCTCAATGTTTGTAGGAAAGAAAATGATTTGTCCAATGTTTTTTTGAGTTTAGAGTTTAGAATGTAATAAAATACAAGAGTTTCATTGATTTATGAATTTTGGAATTTAGGAGCATTGATTTTACTTAGATTTAGATTTATTAATTCAAAAGGAAGGGATGTGAATTTAGCCCAGCGATTGTTAATCGCTCGAAAATTGGTTCGAGTTTTGGCACGGATCGAAATAAATGAGCTGAGCTTTGAGCTAAATTTTTAAATTGATTTTTTTTTTCAAGATGATTTCAAGCCGACTCTCGTCAGATTGAAATCAGGTCGTTAATAATCTTACTAATGTTAGAGCTGTGAATTTAGGAAATTTAGCTCGAAGAACGTTAATTGCTAGAAAATTGATTCAAATTTTTGTTCGGATCGAGATCAGATCAAAATAAATGAGCCGAGCTACGAGCTAAAAGCTTGGATCAAAATTTTTTGAGCCGATCTTAACTCGGCTCAAAATCGGAGCGTTAACAACTCTATCGAAAGGTTAATGAATTTATAAATTTACTAATTCTACTTCGACTACATTCGAGTAAAAAACCAACATTTTCATATGTTTTGGAGTTGTTTGAGATCAATTTTTATTTTTTTGTTTATTGTTCTTGAAAAAAAAAGGAAACAAACAAAAAAAGAACAATGTTTCCTTATCTATTTTTTATTTATTTTTTGTTTTTTTAGGAACACTTTATTTTTAAAATACTCAAAACAAAAAAAAAATATTTTTTTTCCACATTCGCATAAAAACCAACATTTTCGTATGTTTTTGGGCTATTTGAGATCAATTTTTATTTTTTTGTTTTTTGTTCTTGGAAAAAAAGGAAACAAACAAAAAAAAAAACAATGTTTCCTTAACTGTTTTTTATTTTTTTTTTGTTTTTTTAGGAACACTATTTTTAAAATACTCAAAACAGAAAAAATAATTTTTTTGCCGAGTCCCGCCACCTGCCCTGACGACCGCCGCACGCCGCTTGCTGCGCCATTTGCCATCAATTGCCAGTCAGCCCGCCACCCATCGTTGGTCATCGCTCCTAGCTGTCTGCCGCCACCGCCCGCCCATAAGTAATGCTTTATGTTGGGTGGAACAAAGATGACATATATGCCATAGCAGCCCGCCACCCATCGTTGGTCATCGCTCCTAGCTATCTGCCGCCACCGCCCGCCCATAGGTAATGCTTTTTGTTGGGTGGAACAAAGATGACATATATGCCATAAACTGTAGAGCTTAATACTGAAGTGTATGTCAACCTAACTGTTTTATAAAAAATATAAATTTCTCTTAAAAAAATAAAAAAAAACTAATTAAATCTATTTTATATTTTTGAAAATATATAATGTTACGATTTATATATTTTTAAAAATTAACGGATAATAAATAAATAAATATAAAATAGACTAAAAATAAAAATAAAAATAAAAAGCAAAATGCGATCATTCCCAGAAGAGGCCTTGCAGGGTTTTAACACAACCCATGGCCGCTTTCTCCATCCCCGTGGTCCATCCAAATCTGCTACCATCCGACAAAATCAAAACCTCTATTCGATTCCATGTCCTCTGTCCCGTTTCAGTATCGACATCTTCTCTCCCAAAGAATTACTTATCACATTCACCGAACCCGAAAGTTCTCGCTGTACATAAAACACAACCAACCTTCTTCAAAACTTTCAGAGATGGAGCGGCGGTGTTACTCCTCGGTTCCTTTCTTTTATTGGGTAGGTACGGCAGGAGACCTTCTTTGGCCCTCTCTGATCCTCTCAAGAGCAACATTTCTGACTGTTTGGAAGAGAAAATCGAAACCCAGAAGAAAAAGGAACGGGATGATGACGACGACGAGTTATATGCTAGGCTTTTGGAGAGGGACCCTGCGGATGTTGATGCCCTAAAGTTGTGCCTGTATGCCGAAATGAAGAAGGGGAAGAGGGAGGAAGCCGTAAAGTATTTAGAGAGATTGATAGCTTTGGATCCGGATGAGGTTGAGTGGAGATTGTTGCATGCCTTATTGTATGAATTGATGGGGCATTTTGGAAAGGCAAAGAAGCTGTTCAAGGAGATCCTCAAAGAAAGGCCTTTGCTGGTCAAGGCTTTGTATGTAAGTTTGTTCTTATTTCATCAATCCCTATAACTTGGCCTGCGCTATGTTGCTTATGGTTGTAGTATGTTATTGAGTTGTGCATGATGCATCGCATAATTTGATAATTATGTTTCTGTGCAGGGTATAAATTTAACATTTTTGACCGAGTCATTGGAAAATGGGAATTTCATGTAGGGGCATTTACATATCTACTACACAATTCTTGATGTATTTACATTTTTAACACCGAAACATTGACATGTATACCGCTCAAATCTTTAACATCATAGGAAAAAAACCTGTATCACTATCTTTTTGAAAGTGAAATACACTTTTTCAAACATTAGTTTATAAAAACAAAGTATTTTGTTAGTGCAAATGTTAAACTATGAGTGTTATATATGTAAATTTATATAAAATGTGTGATATGTTTGTACATTCTACTTGAATCTAATATAATGTCTTGGCCTATTAGCTGAACCAATGTTTATGTTGGGGACCTCTTTGATGCATGCTGAATGTTCATTTCTATCATATGGGAATTATGTGGAAAGTTGGAAAGAGAGTCCTCTAGTTGTCATGCAGTGTTTTGTAAGTGATCTATTTGATTCAAATTTATTTGAGGCAATACCTTATCTCTATTTATAAGACACGATATCTCAGCATAACCCTAAGTAAATAGGAAGGATAAAGAGAGAGAAACTTTGAATGATTTTATTATTCATGTTAGAAGCTCGAAGCACTATATATGTCTTGCAGAAATGATTCTTTGGTTTATATTTGTAGAGCTTTTAGATGTTGCAGGAGAAGCTACACTTTAACCTAGAAAAAGAAACAAACAAATAAATACATGATATGACCACTATAGATACGTGGACATAGTTGTCATAATCCTAGTCTGTATACTCAAATCGCTTTCTTGGTGAGTACTGTGAACATTTTGTCGGCTAAATAGATAGCATTGCATCTCTGAATGAGCGAGTTTTTTTATTTCACACTAGAAAAGACTAGACAAGTGCCTTTGAGGCTAGTTAAATGCTTTATGAGCTTGGGCAAGTGTCCTCAAAGTTGGTTGAGTGTATTTTTAGATTGTATGGGTGCTTTTGAGCTTGAGCGAGTGAGTTTGAGTGCCATATACCTTGGGTGAGTGACTATGTGATGTTTATGTGCAACTCAGGTACTTACCAAGTCACTCTCCAGTGATATAGCATCACCATGAGTTGCATGGTTTGTAATGAGATGCTTATTGGACAAAGTGTAGAGAGGAAAATTCAACATTGGGTGAGTGAGGCCATTGACAAGGGAACGGCCTCACCTTGGAGCCTGTGAAGAAGTTTAAGACCTCTCGGTTAGATGTCTCCAAACGGCTTGCCACTTGAGAAGCTATTAGGGTCGAGCACTCCTCTCTTATGGTGGGTTTGATCTCATGAGTGCCGCCCTATAACATGGGCCGCACCTTTTACTCATCCTTCTAGGAAGAGCTAGGCACTGACTCTTCCCAAGATCTACCTTCTGCAGTGACAGTGCTCATGTGGTGATTTGGCAGGCTAGCTGCACTTTATGTTGCCATTATAGGAATTTATATCATAGGGTTGCCAAGTTTGAGGAGATTAAGAGGCAATGAGATCCTTCTCCAAGGAATATGACAACTTTCATGCCTCTAAGAAAGAGATTGGGGTGTTGAAGTCCAAATTTTTCAAGGACTCCCATTAATTGGAAAATGAGTGGGTGAGAAATACTTTGAGCTGCATACTTATCACTCTAGGGAGAAGGAACCTGGCGAATAGTTGGAAGAGTATAAGGAGAAGAAAACTCTGTGAGCCAATGATTGCATAGTGTGTTCATTTTTTTTTGAAATTAAGATAAACTCCAAGGTATTTGCAGCTTTCATGGGGTCATTTTTAAACAAAGAGATGCTCATTAAAAAGTATGAAGTTGTTTATTGCCTCCAAAAGCTAGTAACTTGCTTGGAACTTACTGACAAGTATTAAAATAAGTGCACTTTTTACTATTTGAAAACAAACAAGACTTTTGAGGGCATGTTAGACTTGTGCAAGCAATGCATGAGTTTTTTATTTTTTATTTGGTACTTGTAGCAAATAAAACAAAATTATCGAAAGTCATACAACATATGAATGAATATTTATTATTTATTTATACTAGTTTTTAGTCTCTATTTTTTTGGATCCAATATGTTATTTATTGAGTTGAGTTATGCTCCAGGCTTTTGATTAAATGACTAAACTACATGAGTTTTGGATGTTTGGGCGTGCACATATTCAGACGATGTGTAAATGCTTATTCCTTTTAAGTCTTATTCTTTTTCTCTTATACATCTTTTTGCAAGTCACCACCTTGAATGAGCCTGACATTTTGCAATAATTCAATTTTCAAGAGAGTAACCATTTAAACTCACCAAATAGAATGGATTTGTGTGCTACCTCAATATGAAGCTTTGTAGAGAACCTAGAGTTGGAGTTTAAAGCTAGTTTTATGCGAGAAGAGTTGGAGGCTTGATACTTGAGGTTTGATGAGTTGAGGCAATTTGATATTTTTCTTCAAAGAAGTAGACTCTTGTGCTTGTAAGCTTGGCCTTGAGTCAAGATCACAATGATCCCTAAACTCAAGTTATTTTAAACATCTTATACTTGCTCGAGACTTGAGTACTCTTCTTTTTGGTTCAAAAATTTCAAATATTATGCTTAGCATTTACTTAAGTTTGAGACCGGCCTATTCCAAACTTGGTCTCTTGTGTTGAGATCAAATTGCTACTCGCTATTTTATAAGTTCTTTTAATATTTTTATCTCGCTATGAAGAGATGATTTTCATTGGTGAGTAGGTGAGTTCCTTGATGCAAGCGAAAGGAAAAGGTAAAATCCATAATATTATGATTTAATTTTCCATCCTTCTCGCAAAAGATTGAATTTCTTGCATTTATTGGGAAACTAATTTTATTTTCTTCAAAGTATATTATAGGATGAAATTAAAATAAGCAATGATTTTTTAATCTCATAAGTAGGACAGCTTTAGAATATTTCCATTCTAGGTACTTAGTAGCTCTCTCCTCATGTGTGTCTGCAACTAATAAGATCCAGGGTTGATTTGCTTTAAAATAGGGTAAGATTCATCTTAGGTAGAGCCTAGTTTTCGAAGTAATGATTTTTGAGCTGCCACATTCACTTAAACACTTGATACTCGGGGTGAAAGGCCTTCTTTTGACTCATATGCTGTAATATTTCATCATCTTTCTTATGATATTTTTCCAGTTATTTTGATTCCTATGATCATACCTCCTCTAATAAATTTAGATTTTTTTTCATGCATTCCTTGTTCCTTTCTTTCCATTTTGATATCTCTATCTTTTCGAAATTTACGTGTTTACCACCCGCCGACTATGTAAGTTGTACTTGATTAAATGTTTGGTTTTCTTGCAAACAAAAGATGTTTGGCCGTTTGGGCTACTGTAGAGAATGCTGTAGTTCTTAGGAACCATAAAACGAATGGTAGCATTTCAAACCACCTATCTTTGGCTCTTGCAACTTTCTTCCTCAGACATTTAGTATCAGCTTGTTTCTTGCTCGTAGCAACCTGTTAGTTTCCTTAAAATATTGCATTGCATTACAGGGGTAAAAGATTACAAAACGCAATACAAAGCATGCTATCAATTATTTACAAAGCGGGCCCTATCACTAATGGAAGAAGCATCATCCCTTATAGTAGGAACAAAAGTGCTGATATTCTTCATGTTTACAAATAAATGAACTATCTAAAGCAAGGCGAGCATATATGCGGGCTACTTTGCTGAACTCCCTATGTATAAATAAAAAAACTTTGCATGTGTAATTAGGTTGTGGTCAAACCTGCTCTATAGTGGGTACTTTTATTGTGCCATTAATATTAATCATTTTATGGTTCACTTTTTATGAAATCTCCATCTTTAGACTATTTTTTAATATCATTTGAAGTAAATTTGACGTGTTATACAATTTTTAACATGGTTTTTTTTGTTGCAGTTAATGGAGTTGGAATCATGGTTTTTTGTGTTTGTTTATGTGTATCTCAATGTAGAATTGTTTTTGAAAACTTTTGATCCTGAGTGATATTGTATCAGTTTTTCTTACAAGGAGAAATAAGTATAGAAATGGAAAGGATATGGTATTTATAAAGAGAAGAGAAACATGATTGATTTATGTGAACGATAAGAATATGTGGATTTATGTTTGCATCCCCATGTAAAGAATAAATCTTGATTCCTTGATACTTTTCAGAGAATATATATGTATTCTTGAGTAAGCCATTGAGATTTGAGATAATGATTTCTAAGTTTTTATTGACTTGTGATTAATTGTATTTGCAAGACCAAATGACATTATGGGGAAACAATTGCAATTCAAACCTTTTAGTGATATATTTACGAAGAAAAAGTGATTGATTAAAGACAAATTTGCAATTTTAAAATAAGGAGTGGGTGTATATCCAATTTGGATATATGAGAGATTTATTTCCCGAGAATTAAGGAAACAATTCAATATTCTTTCTCGACTTTCTCCACTTTTTTAATGGTTGAGCATCCTTAAGGAGGATCTAGGAGAACTATACAACCGAAAAGTAACCAATCAAATCATCACAAATTGGATGGCTTAGAATTCTACTAATCCGTAGAAGTTTTTCCAAGATGAGCCAAGTAGACACCAAGTCAAGATCGCAAACGACCAGACATGGCTTTGAATGACTGAGGCAAGGAGAATTGATCCGCATCTGAGCTCGAGCAACTAAGGCCGACCAAGGCCAACTGACCGAAGCTAACCAAGACTGACTGATCAAGGCTGACCGATCGAGGCTGACCGATCGAGGCTTGATGATCAAGGCCAAATGATTGAATTCGAATGACCAAGATTGGGAAAATGAAGTCGAGCAATCAGAATCGAGCGTCTAAAGGGTTCATATAAAGTTGAATTCTTTGAGTCTCCAGCTGAGATAAGGGTTAGGATTATAAAAATTTAGGGGATTCTTATGT